GATATGTCCGTGCATTTAAAATTCACACGTAATCGCTTCATCTACATCGGAAAGACAGATAGCATCTTACAACTATATACACGTTACATTTTAACACTCAGTTTTATATCAACATAAGTTATATTTTTACACGCATGTCATTGCCCAAAGGTATTCGGGTTGTATTCGATCTATTCTTAGCGTCGTCATGAAAATTCGACGAATACTGTTTATGTATTAAGCTTGTGCAAATATAAAAAAATATTATGGAAATTGTAAATGCAGACCAACCAAGAAGTTACTTCAAATCTTTCAATTCATACGAGTATTGTAATTCGCGTAAAAGTTACATGGCAATAATTGCAGAATTTTGTTTTATTTCCAAGATGTATAAATTTTTTATAATAATTATAATCGATCGATGTTCCGTATTCAAATTCCCAACATATTGCAATTAAAGCGAATGAACTTTTCATCGAATCGCCGTTAGGGAGGAGGAGGTGGTGTCGGGCGCCGCCCGTGTTCTTAAAGCCGATAGACTCAGGAAACGATGAGCCCGTTATTTATCGTTATACCAGTTTCGAACTATTTTCACCGTTAATTTCGTAAGCCAAATAAATAGATCGTGTGATTTATGTAACACTTTTCATTCTGTTGTTGCTTTATCTTCGAAAAACGTCAGTCCGTTTCAGGTCCAACTTTAATCTTCCACAGAAGTTCTCACTTGCGTTCAAAGAATGAGAATTTTCGTCTGATTCAGTTGATTTTTAAATGGAATCTTCCATTGCCTGGTATTATTACGTAAAGCGTATAAATTCGAATCGAAACTGTTTCTTATCTTTTTCTGCAACGTCCTATTTAATTGTGATTTGTCGGGCTTACTAATAACCAGTCCTTTTGGCACGAAAAGGAAATGTATAATAAAAATTGTACCATAAAATTATTGCAAGTATTTACATTCATTTTACTTTAAGAAAAAAATATGTTAATGATTACCAAGCTTTAACTGATGAGTTTAATCGAAAAATTGAGATTAGATGTATTATGGATTTCGTAAATATCGATTGTGAAAATTTACTACAACGGACTACATCGTGGTTAGGTACTTCTTACGTAATTGAAATTGTTAGTGAGTCCGAGTTTATCGAGGAGACTGTATCAACGGAATATATCAAGTAAAAATCTCTAATGATACTGTTTTTCTTGGATATTAATCACCAAAGTACTTGCTTATTGTCAAACGTCATTTGCCCATTTTTTGATATTTTTACATTTTACCTGGTTCGATACGAAAGGAGCCGCCGTTTAATTAATTTGAACAATTTGTAATACGAAAAATTTTGTTAATTCGACAAACCATTTCTTTTAAAGTGATAGAAACAGGAACACCATAATAATATCATCGAACATGACGTTCAATCTTCAGCTGTATGTAAATGGTTAGCCTTATTCCAACGGTAGAGATATCGATCGGGAAGAAAACCGACGAATGTCTCAACTTAATAGCGATAAGGACCATGCATTACGAGTTTATGTGCGAGTCTACAGGATGTTCACATTCTACTGTATTGATAGTATGTGCTTCATCAGATCAGCCGAGAATGTTTAAGAAAAAATATATATACATGTATATGTACATGTATATGTATATCGTATAACCCGCTTAATATTTTAAAAATACATGATGCATAACATTAATTGTCTATCGTTATTTTGTGTAGTTTGATTAAACTGTATGATGTACAGTGAAGTTTTACATTCTGTGTTATGGTGGCATAGTACATTTTTTACCAAATTAAAAGTTTTGAGCAATCATGTGAAACATCTGAGCAATGGAACACGAAGTGTGAATAAGGTCGTATACACAATACAAAAGGAAAGTTGAAACTGTATTAGTTATAGCAGTAATTATGATGATATATTTTATTGAGCATTTTAAGATTTTTTGAACGTGAAAAATAACAAGAGGGTAATTTAAAATTTTTATTAAATTATAATTTGAGAGACGTAAAATGTATGGCAGTATGATGACAATGTAAAAAATGATGCCATCTACTATGAATGCGTTGTATCAGACAGATAATAAAACGAAGTACAGAAGAAAAAATATGAAGTTGGGACAAAGTTGGTACGAAGAAATCCGCGTTACAGTTCGTCTGTGCACTAACTAAACAAAACCATTTAACATAAAACGTGAATAAAAGAAAAAAGGAAACAGAAATACCACTTATGATTTCGTTATGGATTTTATGCATTTATTCCGTATTTAAACGTGTAAAATATAACAAAACAGAGACCTATCCAAGCTTTATCAAATTGTGATTTTATTTTGAACTTAGTGTGCCTTTAATTCGTAAAGGAAAGTTGTCTTTCATTCTGTTTGCCTAGAATTGTCTACGAAACTTACATTCGTATAAATATCTGCAGTCTACGTACAATTAATTGACAAATAAGAATCTGATAGGAAAGTATCGATAACAGTTTCATTGATACGTTTCGATTGACGGGGAACGTTTAGTGTTAATGTATTTTACATTCGTGAATGATGAACGTATCGGCAGTAAAACATGTTAATACATTTACTACATTAAAGTAACAGACAAGACTGTGATGGTGACTACACAGTAAGAAATTGATGAAAGAAAACGAAGGGGAAGTGGGGATAGGCGTTGTGAAAATCCTATTATTAAGAAATTTCAGGCCTTTTTTCTGCTCAGTGTGCTTCTGTCGACAGATCACAACTGGAGATACATTGAATCAGTCACTAGTGAAAACAAAACAAAGTAACTGCACGATCAGGCTAGTCTAGTCTATCACCTCGCAACTAAATGTTGCTTTTCATGTGTGTAAATACTCAGAGGTTACTGTGTTTCGTCCCTTTCGTATTCGTCAGTGAACCGCACGTTGGCCGAGCATGTCTTCTTTTCCCCATAGCAGTTAGTCTAGCATTCTACTAAATTGCGTTTTCACTTTTCCAGACCTTTTGCACTTTCTTTGTTCTCTGTTTCCCCATGTCCTTGCATTTCTTTCGCCTGTCTTTCTCATTCTCCCTCACATTTGTTTTTTGCGTCATTCTACAATTTTCAGAAGACGTGCACGGCCATCTTGATTTATTACACTACTCATAGTCTGGATTTACGAAGCCAGCAGTCATCAGACAAAATGAGTCCATATGCATAGTCACCCACATCTAATGCAACAGACTTATTATTTTATCGTACCAATAAAACGATTATTTATGTTTCCATATCTTTTTAATCAAATTGTGAATGATGTCTTCCAAAGTACACATAGGTATTCTTATTCTTATTTAAATTCGTTAAGTTAAGTTTAAGATTCGTATTTAAATTTAAGAGCTTTTATATGACTAAAAGTATTTCGATTTTAGGTTTAGAACTGCAAGAAAGAATTTTAAAAACAGGGTCACTTATGCGCACGTGCAAATTCAATAATATGGACTAAAACAAGCAACTAATTTTGTCTGTTAAAACAGCTGCTTATTATTTTTATGTTCGAAGCATTCTTCTCCGTTCGAAGAATACCATGTAAAATTCATTGAAGACTATTTTGACGGCTGCTTGACAGCGGTTAGTAACCGTTCACGCTTCAACGGATAATAAGAAATTTAATTTAAATTCTCGAGAAAAGTTATCTGCGGTATAGTTTGAGAAATTTGTCTGGTACGAAGAATCACCATTTTCAAAAATGGTTGTTAAGTTGTATGGGGAAAAGCTGTGAAGTATATGCGCTCCTACCCGCTACATTAGTGAATGGTTACCTTTCTACAACTCTATTTGGCTCAGGGCGCACGGACACGCTCAGAAAGTAAGCGATAATGCGACTGGTGTGCCGAGCGCAGGAGCGGCACGTGAGGAAATGCTGCCACTGACACATGTGTGCACACAGGATATAGCAATAAAAACACACACATACGTGCATGCACGGAACAGTGCTCATTTCTACTAGTGCGACTGCTCACACACATGTTCACTAATATCGCGTGGAACCGTCTTGTAGAACGCACGACCCAATGTCGCCGCGTCGTAGCGTTGGCGGGATCAGCTTGATTCGGATTGGTGAGAAAGAGCGTCCGAGTTCACTGTTGGTGGGGCGTCGCGGGGAAAGGCGGAGCCAATCGTCGACAGAACGACGCAACATGGCTTCTAGTTCGCGAGGGGCCGTGTTCGCGTGCACGTCGCGCACGTACGCGTACCGACTTTCCCCCGGCGGACCAACAGATGTCGCTCTAACCTCCTTTGAATCGTCAAGATTGGCGTGACAGTTAACCCCACAAGGAAGAAGAACTAAGAAGAAGAAATCTGTTCATTGAAAAAACAAAAAACAAAATAATCGGATATCAATATGGTTAAAGCACTTGTGGGAATATGTTGAAACGAAAGACTTAGTGCCGCCGTTATATCGAATTTTACAAGACAACTAAGAACAATGATTGTATATCCATTCATCACATTTCCAAACATGAAAAATATCAACATACAGAAGTACCAATGTACAAATGAAAATCTCTCTGCTTCCAGCAGTTAATTATTACAAATTGATTATCCTCTGCAATTTGTGTGTTCTTATAAGACAGCATTGCTAGAGGGACGAGAAAGAGTACTGTATGTATAACTGCAAAATTTTCTTTATACAACCTCCAGAACTGTGAAAATACTAGTCAAATATCTCTGGCCGAAGAGTGTATACAGTGTAATATTTTTCCATGTTGATACATTGTGCAAAGCTTCCGTGTTCGAAGTGTTCATATTGTGTATGTTAACTATGCAGACGTAAATAGAATAAAATATTAAAATGATCCGACAGAACTGTTAATTTGCTTAGAATATTGAACGAGTGAAGGTCATATCATTGGGAAAACGTGTGTATACTATTAAATTTTGTACTTTGCACTATTATTCCACTATTTCCCATATCGTTAGAAGATATTCGAAAAAACGTTTCGCGAGAATTGTAAAAGCAGACCCATTAAACTGCTGTTTTCTTTTTATTTGTGAGTACAGATACTACAAGTACGAGTTCACCTGATGAGAGTACAACCGTTGCTTATGATAATCCATGCTCTCCGGCTGAAACAAGCGCAACTGCGCCGTCAAACGAGCACCAAGACCAAGAACAGGAACAGGAACAACAACAACAACAACAACAGCTTTACCAACATCACCATCCTCAGTTACAACAGCAGCAACGTACGACCGGAAGTGCGCCAGCTGCCGCACTGCACGTTGCTGAGGACAGTGGAGCCCCCTGTGAGATGCGGAGGACACCACCGCAAAATAAAGGTGAGTTCGTATGCAATCTGTCGTGAATAGACTAGTGATGGACACCATAGACTAAATTAAACTATCGACTAACGATCATTTAGTCGCAACATACTATCGAGTATTTAATCGATAGTTTTTAGTCGACTGACATTTTGTTTTATACGTTATGTATAGATATATCATCAACTTTACAGCACCATTGGTGTATTTACCTTTTGGAAATGTATTAGTTCATAGATAGAATTTCAAAAATATAAGTGGTAAACAAGGTTTTTTAAACAATTACTAATATTCGATTTTTTGTAAGCTATTTAATATTGGCACTTAAAAAATTAACTGCTCTAAATTTTGTATGAAACTCAATTAGGTTATAAGCAATAATTTGCACAGTTCTTGGTAATGCATAAAAAAATATATGGAAAAATTACAATTCGTGTACATCGCGAAGAAAATAATCAAGATCCAGTCAATAGCGATTAGTAGCTCGATAATTCGAGCGTGTCGCTTCAAGCGACTAATATTAGTCGCCTGAAAGTAATCGCTTCAAACGACTAATATTAGTCGTCTGAAGTTAGTCGCTCCAAGCGACTAAAGTAGTCGACGATTGAAAAAATTAGTCGACTGAAAGTAGTCGTTGGTTACTATCGACTTAGTCAATAGTTTTTAGTCGATGGTGCCCATCATTAGAATAGACAGTATTATGGAGGAAGACTCCTTCGGGGCCAACTCTGAATCGATCGAAGCGCCAATATAAACAATCAGACGCTAGCGAAAATACATAATCGATAACTGGGATGGCTTGATGATACATATTTAACGGCAGTACATACTACGGACGCGATACATATAAGAATAAACATAACATTTTACGGGACTTTGTGTCCCATGAAAATCACGTTGGGTCGAACTCACCTCTACATAAAAGTTTCCGATTTCAGTAACTACGTTTGACACTGTGATAACGCACAGCACACACACATTCGTGACTGCATGTAACAATACATACATACATTATTGCCCCGGTTCCGCTAGCAAGGAATGGAATACTGGAATGGTACGGGGGTTTCTGACGCCCCCGAAGTATGGGACAGAATATTACATTGCATGTTAGATCTATTCTTATATCTCGTCCATGGCAGTACTTACAAATACATTTTTGTTCCTCTTACCATCAAGAGAACGATGGAATACAGCTCGAGGCGAGATTTCGCTTTTTGCCGAACGTAGGAAAAGAATGCCGCTAGCGAAAGATATTCGAGAATGAAACGATACTTACTAATGTGTGCAATGATAAACCTATTTTATTCATATTTGCAATGATGCTTATTTTTTTTAATCAATGAAATTACATACGAAATACTTGAAATAGTATTCCCGAGAAACAAATTGTAAAAACGACACAATATACATTCCGGGTATTCCATGTACAAAAATATGGAATAGTATATACAAAACTGCTGTTTGAAATATGTATTTTTTCGTAAAAAGGACACAAAAAGAACATTGAAAATACAAATTTATTCAACGAATAAAGATACTTTTTTTTATTCGAAGAGCGTTTCATCCGTAGTATCGAATAACATTTTCAACTTTTATCTGTAGCTTTATTTGAAAGCTTCGAAGTGAACTTCGAATACCTTTTGCCAGCTTGAATAATAGTCCAGTCGAGTTAGATTTTCAACAAAAACTAATTTTAATTCGCTATTTGTTTGTGCGAAATGGTTTGGGAGGTTATTAGATGTTAGAAATATTTCGTATAAGACTTGACTCCGATCTCTTTCGAGGTTCTGGGGTAAGTACCGTGTCCCTTGACACAGTCCTCTTGCCAGAGAGTCCCCCCGACTCTCCCCACTCTGTGGTCAGATCCTTTATTTAAAATCTTTTATCTCACGCGCTTCGATAGCAACCGGCAACCGACAATCCAGCGTCGGTCCCTTTACCATCACGGAACACCCGGACTCCGAGGCCGCGAGGAATCAACAATGCATCGCCACTCGTGCCGCCACCGAATCTAAACACCGATGATATGTTTAAGATTCTGGCTATTGACGATACAATCTCTTCTCAAGAAGCCGACACCACGTGCCTCTCCTTTCATAAAAGAATTAACGCTAACATAGAAATGAAATGTATACGTGTTAGACTCATGAATTGTTGGAGAACATTGTTAAAAGCATTCGAAACTGTGTGAAAAATACGTTTTTCGCATGCAGATAAAAATATAATGATTTTAAAGAAGGAAGGTTTAAACTAAAAACGCAGGTATTTTTAATACCTGCAAAGTTAGATATGGTATGTTAAAATCGGTGCAGATATTCAGTTGCAAAAGTACTAACACTGTCCAAATAGGCTCTTTTCTTCAATTGCTTAGTACTCGGACAGATTTAAACATAGGACGTTGAAATTGTAGGAGATTATGCCCCCCATTACGATCAACAACTGTGCCAAATTTCAGCAGTAATATTTGCTCCTTTTTACAAAAAGCCATGAATTTATCCCAAACGCATCTCCGGAAAAGTTAATTTCTCCACCTTCGGCAAGTCGGACAGCAAGCAGCGGGGGTGTTTTTTACTCTTTGAGAGTTGTACTATCATATAAACTTGCAGATGAAAGCTATCTGTAACATTGAACAATCGAAAAATAGCTCCAAAGAATAGGGTGTTTTTTTTCATGTAAACAATTTGAATGGCATTTTTATTTTTAATTGTATCGAATTGTCGTATAGACCATACAGTTTTAAAACAGAACTACAATTTTTAGAACAAACTATTTTACTTTAAGTTAATTCGGGGTTACGATAATTTTTTTTTAATTACTGTATCGTCCATTTTTAACATTAAATTTAATCCCGGTTAATTTCGCTCATTCTCAAATGTATTGTAGTTTATGACCTGGTGAATAAAAAATGTAATAGGAAAAAACATCTGTGATGCATAGTTATTGAGATACAGTTAATCAAACGGCAAATAGAAAAGTTACCGTTGACTTGCGCTACGCCTCACTCCGACTTTGACCAGTGGTCTCTCTCCGCTTTATCACGTCGCTAGTAGTTCCCCTCCACCGCACCGTCGATCTGCCAGAAGTTTTTTTTTCGGTCGGCCATAGTTTTCGAATTATGCGAAAAAATGTTTTAATGTTAGGTGAACTTGTAGAAGGACCACTCCCTGGTAGTTTTGGATAGACCCTTTCTTAACCCTTTGCGCTCGAGCGGTGCCTCTCAGGCACCACTGCATGTGATGCGATAACTCGAGCGGTGCCTGAGAGACACCATTCGAATCGATGTGTTTATTTGTGTTTGACCTAAGGAATATCGCTTGAAAGGTCTACTTGGCCTTTTGTAGATCATATTACGCGGTGTCTAAATAGCTATAAGGGTGTGTTATCTGAAATAAAGGACGTCTTAGCACCGCTTATGCGATAAAATGTCTTATCTCAAAAATACTAGCGACCGCGGTTGGAACTCTGGCTTCGACATCAGTTCGAACTCAACCTTCTTGTCGATCGCATTATTTCTTTCAAAGTTACTGAGCCTAATAAGTATGGAATACGACGAAGAAATTACTTCTAGTGAAGATGAGTTCAATTTTTCGGCAGTAACAAACGAAATTACATCACTACATTAAGTTAAAAAATTACATATTTTTTATGTTCAAATTTTTTTTTATGTTTTTAATGTTCAAATATACGAGTTTAAAGTGTTTTATTGTGTCTAAAAATTTTTTAAGTTAACAATAACGAACTCATGAAATAAGCGGGAGCGGCTGATTACTCTCGAGTTGCTGGTTCACCCGACGAAAAAGCGCCTCGAGCGCAAAGGGTTAATACCTCTCTTGTGATATATCAAAACAAGAACAATGACAAAAAAGCAGTTGTTAGTGAAAATACTGTATAACGTTATATCAACGTTCTGTACGATTCGTAGCGATGGTACTGCACTAGTATGTGATTTTACCCAGGAAAGAATCTTTTTCAATGTATGTATACAAATGAGGCGGTAGCGTTTCTAGAATTACACCCTACCTTTTGCTTGTCCGCCTCTAGAAAAAACAAGGAATAAGGAGAGTTGCGTTCTGCTGATGCGAGAGAACGCGAGTCTACCGTAACTTTTCTATTTGCCGTTTGATTAGCTGTATCTCAATAACTATCCATCACAGACGTTTTTGCCTATTACATTTTTTGTTCACCAGGTCATAAGCTACAACATATGTGAGAATGAACGAAATTAACCGGTATTAAATATCCCATTTAATTAGTGCGGGGTTCTTTGTACGAAGTTTGGAGAGAGAGTTACATTATCTGTTCCTTATTTTTCGAATTAATCCATTTAGTGTCTTCTCTTATAAAGATCCCAAAGTTCCGGTATGCAAACGCAACAGCGTGCGCCGAGAGCGGGGTGGGGAGAGCACGCGACGCGAACGTGCGTGTGCTGCCCGAAATCTACCTCGCGCGTATTATCTGGCGTACCTGGAAAAATTCAAGTTCTCTGTGCAACAGATTAACGTAGAGCGATAAATTTTTTTAAATTTTTGAGTACTTCGACAAGATATTAAGAAATAGCGTGACCAGTATTGTAAAAAAATTAGTTAAAGCCCGAAATTTTTACTTCTTTGATTTTTTACATTTTGAATTGATTTATTTTGTTTATTGGTGAAACTGTAGAAAAGTTACCTACCCTCCGATTTGAATGATTTTTGGATATGTTGTAAAACTCGGAATTTTGAACAACTTTTTCCCATGCATATAACGGAGGTGCAATAATCACACGCTACGTGCTGCGATTGGTAGCCAACGTTACCGCCGGAACTCGGTCGGAAGATTCGCGCTCTGATTAGTCGGGGTTTTTCGTTAATATCTGGTTAACCAAGCCTCGGATAACATTTTTGCTAATTGAAAACTTCTTTCAAATCACCTTACGAGTCTCCCATTTTCAGGTCCTCCAACATTTTTGTTACACCCTGTATATGTACATATACGTTCCGTGCTCTGTCCGTCGTGTCCGTCGTGCCAATACTGATGGGACCTCAAGCCAGTGATGCCAGAATCGTGGGAATTTCGCGCGAGCGCATACCCTCTCCATGCCTCCCATGGGTATTTTACACAAGCATATTCTAGCCTGTCCCCGTGTGAGCTCTGCCCCCACTACGTCCTACTCGGCGACTCAGCAACACAAGCGTTTTCTACCTCTGTCCGTGTGCGCTCTGCTTCGGGTTCTCGGAAAAAGTCTACGTCACGCGTTTACGACGCGACGGCCGAATGGCCCAAGCCAGGTCAAAATCCCGTATCCCAAGCAATCTAAACGCCCAGAGTCGAGAGCAGCATGAATTCTCTAACGCCCTCATGACGGGGACCCCGTCCATAACCCCGTTCGAATCCCGATGCGACGGTTTTCCTTTTTATTTTTAATTATTGTGTAATTTTAGTTTGTAATTTGCCAGTAAAATGAAAGTTTCAAAAATATTAATTTAAGAAGCATTTTACAAAAATGGGAGATGTATTTATTACTCTTTAATATTTAAATTTTATATTAAACAAATACATATTCTCTTATATAGACAAATTATTCTTACAATTAGATGTTACCTTCATTCTAACTATTGGAGTATATACATATAAAAACATTGGAAGAAAAATCCATCACATTAATATGTTACGTACAGTAAACTGAAAGCTTAGAAGATATTAATTTAAGAAACGCTTCATTGTCATATTCGGTAGTAATACTATTATTCCAATTGCGGTTTAAACTATTTGCATACTTCTTTTCAGATATAGAAAAATAAAGGACCGACGCCGAGAGCAGCATGATTTCTCTCACACGCTCGTTCATGATGAAGACCGTGTTCGTATCCCGATGCGACCGTTTTAGTTTTTATTTTTAATTATTGTATAATTTCACTTTGTAATATGTCAGTAATATAACAGCTTCGAAGATATTAATTTGAGAAGCATTTTCAAAATTCGATTTTTGTATTAATGATATATTTCGCGTTTCTAAGAACCGTTGCAGTTGGTCCACGCACATGTGATGTTAGTGGTCCTTTACTTTTCTATGTCTGAAAAGAAGTATGCACATAGTGTAAACCGCAATTGGAATAATAGTACTACTACCGAATATGACTATGAAGCTCGTATGTACTTAGGGTGAGACGTGTCTGACCAAAACGCTCGAAACGCGGGCAAACCTATCGTAAATGGAGGCAACTTGGGAGAGGAGACTGCACGGTGGCTCATTGTAACACGTAATTTGGAAATGTCTTTATTACCGGAAAGTAGAGCGGTATTCAATTCTTAAAAACTATTTTAACGTAAATGGACTTTGAAGTAGGTGTAGTTATACGCGCGCCGAATACATTATTGTCCGATTATTTCAAAGGGGGTTGTTAGGAATTTCCCAGATTCTGAAAGAAGCATTTTAACCGCCCAAAGAAATTAATATACCGTGAATAAAGAAAGTCTATATTGAACACGGAACATTTGTGACATTATTTAGAGGACAAAAAGAAAAGACGATGTGTTGTATTTCCATGCATATTATCCATGCTCACCGACATCAAATCTAAAAAAATGCATATGCATGGACCAGCTTAACAAAAAAACTAATTTTGAAAATGCTTCTCAAATTAATATCTTCGAAGCTTTTATTTTACTGAGATATTACAAAATGAAATTATACAATAATTAAAAATAAAAAGTAAAACCGTCGCATCGGGATTCGAAAGGGGTTATGAACGGGGTTCTCGTCATGAGGGCGTTAGAGAATTCATGCTGTTCTCGATTCTCGATGTTTAGATTGTTTGGGATTTGGGATTTTGACCCGGCTTGGGCCACTGGGCCGTCGCGTCGTAAACGCGTGACGTAGGGACTTTTGCCGACACACCTGAAGCAGAGCGCACACTGCAGAGGTAGAAAACGCTTGTGTGTTGGTGAGTCGCCGAGTAGGGCGTAGTGGGGACAGAGCTGACACGACAGGCTAGAATATGCTTGTGTAGAATACCTACGGGAGGCAGAGAGAGGGTATGCGTTCG